GCAGATGCAACAATTATGCAGTGTTTTGCTTTCCACAATATTTTGAAAAGTCAGCAAAAAAGTCAGCAAAACATTGGTCTCGTACGGCGGAGAAAAAGAGGAGAGCCCTTGTTGGCAATGTAGCCACGAGCGCTTAAAACCGTGCCTCCCCATCCCCATATCTCATGAAATGTCTTTAAACACCGATTTATTCCTGTAACCCTGCACACGACGCCTCCCCACATTTGTACTTTGATGGGCTTTCCTCAACGCGCTCTCAGCAGTGTGGTCAGAGTAGGGATGTTTACTAACAGTATACCACCGCGAAGGTATTTCAAAATTATTATTTTTTTACACCAAAGCAAAGAACCTAAGTATATCAGGGCCTTAACACACACACACACAATCCAAATATTATATACAATACAAACTGGTATTACACTTTTAGAGCAAAACTACAATTAAAAAAAAAACAAACGGACATGACATTTTAAACACATACAGATACCTTAAGCACAAATGAGTATAATAGGCTAAACTGTAATAGGCAACACCACTCCTGTGATGAAGAAAACTAAGTATACTTGTACTTTTTAGGGTCGCATCTTGTGATGTCATGTCCCGTTTTTGGATTGTTTAGATGTATTTGGTCTGTCTTGATTTGGTGCCCAAGAAACATTTATTATTATTATTATTATTATTATTGAAAACAGCTATCTTTATTATGAAAAGAAACCATAGCATTTATTTGAAATGTACATATTTTGTGACACTAGTAATGTCTTACTGTCACTTTTGATCGATTAAGGGCCGATCCAAGATGAAAAAACGTAATTGCTTTAAAAAAAACAGTAGTGTATTTGTGCATGACACTAGTGTTTGTGTACACGACACGTGACGAAAAAGTGCATGCAATATTCATCTGTGTGCAAATATAAAATGACAATCCCATTCTCACACCTTCTAAGTAAATCACAAAAATACAGAGAGGAAATGCTACACAACTAGTCTTCTCAAACAGGTAACTTTCATTGGGACTGAGAGAGAGTATTGCAGACTTAATTATTCGGTTAAGATTAAATGAATTGGTAAAATAACTGTCAGTTATGTCCAAAATAACTGCATTAATCTATTCCGAATCCACTGATAACAACAGCTGAGCCCACCAAGTGCAACTATATCCAAACAAAACTGCATTCAAACAGAAAAGTACTTAAAACTGTTACTTAATGATTGAATTAATAGATATTTGTCTCAGATTCCAAGGAAAAGGCAATAAAGGTCATAATATCAACAAGGTTTCACCCCACCATTAACTGTATGCGCTTATTCCAATAAGAATGTTTTAGCAAAACCACAGACATAGATCCTTCTATTGTTTGAGGCTAAACCAAAACAGAATCATCTAACAGCAATAAAGCAGCAGTTGCGAGCCATTCTCAGAGACTGCAGCTTGGCAAAAACAGCTGGGCTTTTTGCCAGCGGTGCTATAGCTCATTTTCATTTCTCTTTGAAGGTGATTACCACCATTGTGTATGGATCTCTTCCCCTCCTCCCAATTCCATCTTATTTCCCTTCATATGTAGATGAAGAAAGATTCACACACACTGATGTTGATGTACACATGAACACAGCCATGTAAAAATAAGGGACCTTTCAAACTCAGTCAGCTTTGTGTGTAACTTGGGTGTGTAGCTGTTAATCTAAAATTACCAGACAGATTTGGCGTAAACCAAGTGACAACATCTCTAAAATAAACTTGAAGAGCTAAATCACCGAATTACACAGAAAGTCCAGCTCATTCTTAAACAACCCCCTCTGCTGGTCTGTTGGCAAAAATATATTTTTTTTTTTTCCAAACCAATTGAGATTCTAGAGATTTGTCAGCTACTTCTTTTCAGTTTACAGGCAGTATTTATGCATCAATAATCTCCATCATCAATGTATAAATTACAAGATATTCCCATTAGTAAAAAAACTAGTTGCTGTGGGCAAATCACAATCTCTTTTCCACAAGGCCCGCCAGCACCAGTGCCAAATACCCTGTTCTTTTCCACAGAGACAGTACCATGTGCCAACCAGCATGCCAAATGCAGCTCAGGGGTATCAGCTATCATAACGACACGACAGGCCTAACCTTTAGAGCTCTGCTCAGAGTGAAGGGCAAGGAGCACAGGCTGAGACTCTCCACTCATCATATGGATGTCTGTCTGTGTAAACAGTCAATCCATTTAATAGTACTTAGAGCTATTATGAACAGCAGAATTCGGGAGTGAACGACACACCGCTTCAAGTTAAAATTAAGTCAAATTTACAACAGCAAAAAAATCCAACTGTGGAACATCTGTCCAATGCTCGGCCCAGGACACTAAACTGATATTGTTAAGTATTCTGTGTGTGTGTGTGTGTATGTGTGTGTATTTTGTTGTTATTGTTTGGTTAAGATTAAATGAATTGGTCAAATAACTGCATTAATCTATTCCGAATCCACTGATAACAACAGCTGAGCCCACCAAGTGCAACTATATCCAAACAAAACTGCATTCAAAAAGAAAAGTACTAAACACTGTTACTTAATGATTGGATTGAGAGCAATTTGTCTCAGATTCCCAGGAAAAGACAATAAAGGTCATAATATCAACATGGTTTCACTCAACCATTAGCTGTATGAACTGATTAAAGGATAATTCAGTAAACGACAGCAACAAGGAAAATGCTACATTGAGGGTTCCCACCCCTTTTTACAAATTTTACAATATTAGTTCCTAATGAGTACTGGATAAAACTTTAAAGATGAAGATTTATAGTAGATAACACAACATTGCAGAGGTTAAAAACGTCTATTTGCTATAGAAATTCCCATGACTTTACAATTTCACGCCAAAATACTCAGCAGAAACAAATAATACATACTATTGCACGTATAGGTAAACAAATCGCCCCACACTGGACGTACAGTAGCCACTGCTGCAGATGCATGTCGTTGAGAGCATGTCTCAACATGCAAAAACAAGGGTGGTGGTGAGGGGGATGGAGGCTGCAAAATAATCGTGTCAGCGTTTTTTTTTTCGCTGCTACAAGCAATGTGCACCAACAATGATCAATTCTAGGTAAAACTACTGACCTAAGACAGACCTGAGTTGAGTGACTATGCAGACAGAAGCTATACATTTTCCTCAAAAAATATATAACACAAATGCATACGTTAGAACGCATGCGCTGCTTCGCTATAAACATCTTAAGCCATGGCTGCATGTTTCACGATGTCTTCGTCTTTAATAACAGTAACTAAGCGCGTACCCGATGAATTAATACACATTTTGGATCACCGCAACACAATAATGTGAAGAGCACAATAGGTCTATATCGGATGCATTGAAGTTTGAATACAAGGAAAGGAAAGCGTGTTCGGCACACTGGCCGTTTAAATCCGCGCGGCTGTACCCGGTCGCTGCTGCTGCACGCGAGTTGTTTACCATCACTAGCGCGCCCACTAAATCTGTTAAGAGCGCGTGGTCGCGGGAAATCTTTCGCCCATTCCAAGACACCGACATTTCAATTTCTGCACACTTTCACGAGAAAACAGAAAAGCTCTTTGCCGATAAATAACAAATAGAATGTCCATAACAGCCAAGACGAGTAACCAACCCTAAGATTTTAACCTCAATCTGTTCAGTCCAAAACAAACAACTTTGATAAGTTATTTTATCGTTATCATCGCAATAAGGAAAGCAACGGCGATATTAGTTAAATACACACACATAGTTAACTTACTGTAGCCATGACTCACTGTCAAGAGGAAACGAGGGAGCATCTAGAATAGAGCTAATTAGGATGGAGAGCTTTCGCTTCCATGCTCCAACACTCACTTATTGGCCATTATTCGTTCAGACAGACTTACCAGATTGAGTTCTTTATTTTTAGCTGCAAAGCATTCGCCTCAGTCCCTTGCAATCCTTGAACCGCGGAAGGTAAAGGTCCGACCCCAGGACCAGACTGCTGCTGCTGGTCATCAGCCATCACGATGCGACTCTGTTGAGACGAGGATGGGGATCTAAAAAGTAGGCCTTAACCTGAACCTGGATAATGCAGCTTTCCTCCGTATATAGTACATCACGATCACTGCCTGTTGATTTCACTGACAAATCGGACTCGGCTCTAATACATCACGTTGGTAATTCATGGTTTGTGGTTGCAGCTGAGGTCACTATCCCTGCGCGTGCATCAGGAGCAAGGAAACACTTCGAGCTGCAGCAGGTTCAAAGTCAGACACTAACACTACGTTACCTACCTAGTAGCTCACTGGCGACCACTGGGGAAGCTGCTGCTGCTGGGACCGCGCATGCGCATTGCGCCACCAGCGGAAACCCACACGAGGGTGCTGCAGCGAGTTCATTTATTTCAGACTATGATCATCACTCATGTTCTAAAGCATAACTGGCTGTCAGTAAGGATTGATAATATCCCTCTCATTGTTTTACAAGTTTCCTGTCATATTCGATTGTTTGTCTTTTTATCATAAAGAATTCACCCTGGCCTGGAGGTTGTGTTGACATTTCCTGTCATGTATTGCCATAAATAAATGAATAAATACAATATCAAATGATCTGAAATACACCCTATACTTATTTTATCTTTTATTTATTGCCACGTAAATTAAGTGGGCATTGAACGATGACGTTTTTTTAAGAAACGGGTTTTAAAAAAAGCATGTGTAAAAATAATGAAAGGGATACGCAAAAATCCGGTCAGCATTTACTCACCCTAATGTTGTTTCAAACCTGTATATATTTTTTTCTTTCTGTTGAACACAAAAGAAAATATTACGTTAATCAAACAGCTTGACTTCCATTGTATTTTTCCTACAAAGCCCTTCAACTGTTTACTAACATCATTCACTCCATCTTCTTTTGTGTTCAACAGAAGTAAGAAACTCATACAGGTTTTGAACAACATGAGGGTGAGAGTAAGTGATGACAATTTTGGGGTGAACTATCCTTTTAAATGCCTCACACGAAAAGCTAAGGGAGAAACTGTTGCTTAGCAACGGCGTCTCGCCTCTAACAAAAATGGCCGACCGCAGATCCAGACCCGCGATACCTCCTGTAAGTCTAACGAAATACAACTCTTTAATCTTCGTTTCTAGTTGTTCCATATTAATTACAGTTTTGCCTAAAATACTATTTTTTGTGTATCCAAATAAAAAGATCTACGTTTTTCACTTTAAAGTAAGAAAAGCCGTAAGAAGTAATAAAGAAAGTGTTATTTTGAGTGCGGAGAAAGATTAATATTCGCAAATCGCAATATACTGATACTTTCTGTCTACTCAGTTAAAAAAGCCTCAAACGTCTTACTCAGAAAGGCCTTCCAGACCCACACCTCAGAGCAGGCCTTCATCTGCTCCTTCAAAGAAACCACCACAAATGGACCTCTTAGCTAAAGAGGAGGAATACAAGTATGAGTTTAGTACTTAAATGCACATTAGTTAACATAATACGTTGCTTTGTATGTAGACTGCATAACAGGTGCTATAAAGAATTTACATGAGAATCATAAATATCTAACTGCTTGCAACTCTGATACTCTTCAGGCGTCTCAATGCAGAGCTAGAGGCCAAAACAGCAGAACTTGTTCGGGAAGCAGAGAAAGTTATGGTAAGAGTAGACAAAAGTGTGAATGTGAAAAAAAAGCAAATGATTTTTAAAGATCTGAGAGAATATGGTCTGTAATTTTTATTGTGTATAGCTTATACACTCTAAAAAATGCTGGGTTAAAAATAACCCAACTTGGTTTGTTGTATAACCCAACTGCTGGATCAATATTGCACCAGCCCAGCAGTAGTTAATTTGACCCAGCAAGATGGGTCGGTCATTTTTAACCCAACAGATGAGTTGTTCATTTCTACTCAAATGCTGGGTCAAATTAAATAAAATTCTGGGTTGATTTAACTACAAATTTGTTATATAGCGTACCCAAATGCTGGGTCAAATTAATTACAATTCTGGGTTGATTCAACTACATATTTGTTATATAGTGTACCCAAATGCTGGGTCAAATTAACCCATATGCCAGACTAATTCTAGCACATTACAGTACAATTAAAGAAAAAAAAGGCAATAGACTACTCATAACTATAAAACTGTTACACTACAAACCTAGAACAGAATACATGCTAGATGTATGCATAGATTATGCAATAAACACTTAAACAATACAAAAACAAAACAACAATGGAATCTTTGAAAAATTATTTTATTACTTTAATATCAACAATATTAGTGGAACTGCAGTTAATATCACTGAAGTAGGAAAACATTCAATTATGAATGAACTGGCTGAACATTTAACAGGCCAACAGTCAACGGGAGCCATTAGCTCTACTTGCAAGCAAGTATTCTGGTATCTTCCCAAAGAAACTATTAAAGGGATAGTTCACTTTGAATTTAATTTTTGATATGTTTTATCTTACCTCAAGGGCATCCAAGATGTAGGTGTCTTTGTTTCCACAGTATTTTCAATTTTGATATCTTTCGGTCAAACCGTTGTTGTATATCAGTCATATAATGGAGGTTTAGGGGGTCCTCCCCCGGTTAATGTCAAAGAGCATGCACAGAGAAGTCCAAATTAAACATGATTGAATGACTCGTAAATGTAAGTACACAGTGATGGCCTAAGGCACGAAACGAGCGGTTTGTGTGAGAAAACGAACAGTATTTATATTGTTTTTACCTCGTGTAACTCAGCCATTGGCAACTGATCTGACGGCAGGGGCGCTTCAGTCTGTGCATGCGCCAGAAGTGATCGCTTGCGCGTATACGTCACTCATTGTTTACAGAGAGATTTCGGGAGTTTAACCTTTCACTAAACATTTAGATATATCGAAATCTTCTTCCATGGCGATTTCCTGTATATATAAATATGTTTAGATCTTCACAGTGAAAGGTAAAACTTCCAAAACTCTGTGTAAACAATGAGTGACGTACAGACGCAAGTGATCACTTCCGGCGCATACACAGACTGAAACGCCTCTGCCGTCAGATCAGTTGCCAATGGCTGAGTTACACGAGGTAAAAAACTATATAAATACTGTTCGTTTTTTCACACAAACCGCTCGTTTATTGTCTTAGGCCATCGATGTGTACTTACATTTACGAGTCATTAAATCATGTTTAATTTTGACTTCTCTGTGCATGCTCTTTGAGGTGAACCGAGGGAGGACCCCCTAAACCTCCAGTGTATGACTGATAGACAACAACGGTTTAACCGAAAAAACAAAACAAAATTGAAAATACTGTGGAAACAAAGACACCTACATCTACATGCCCTTGAGGTAAGCTAAAACATATCGAAAATTAATTTCAAAGTAAACTATTCCTTTTAATATTTAGAAATAATAACTGTGTGTGCCTCTAATGTTGATCTTACAAGTCCTCTAATTTTTTGAAGAACTTCAGCCCAGGGCCAGCTCTTGGGATCAACTGTTGATGGTTGCCTCTTCTAAAAGAAGAAAACTCTCCTCATCAGTCCCCTCCTCTAAAAGACAAAAAAATACAAAACACAAAGAACTCTGTTTTTACAACTGAGGAGTACAAAACTAAAATATATAGGTAATTAAATGGAAGATAAACATGCATATTCCATCATTTGTTATTACAAAATAGAATAAATCACTGAAAGTCTACAAAAGACATGTGCCCTATTCATCTATTGGAGTCACTTTGACACATTACATGGAAGCTATTGAAAAAAAGAGAGAAAATTATATTTCATAAGAATTAATGTCTGAAAAGGGCTTGAGTAGCAATGCAGACTTGATATGCTGTGGATGTGAAAACAAATATTTCTTACCTTGAAATCTTTCAACAAGGTCTGTCAGCTGCCACTCTGTTGTGTCAATGACAAAGCTGACCATTGATCTGAAACAAACACAAAATGAGGTTAAGGAAATATACAATTACTATTGTATTAACTATTCAGATGTCACCATGCAAATGCAATGCAGACTAGCAGCAGAATGTAATCCAATGTGAAGATAACAGCCAAAATAGAGAGACCCTCTCTCCCTATATCCTACAATTCAAATTACATGTATTTTACATTCAGACATTTTATGTTACTTCAATGTTTTTACATTTACTTTAATAAGTCTAACACTGTGTTATCTATCGCGGGTCACCATATTACTTAAATAAATGCACATGCATGCATTTAGTCTGGCATATCAGGTTATCTCACTGTTTTTACATACTTTAATAAGTCTTACACTGTGTTATACCTTCGCATTTCACATTAAAAGATTTGAGGGCAAAAAGCGCGCTCATTTATATCCGGTTAACTTAAAATAATGTAAGTTAGCCTGCTAGCCAGGCCGCCATTTTACTGCAGTCAAGCCAGCCTCCAGTTCAAAATGAGCAGTCAAACTAGCCGCCCCTATATTTCTTTATGCGCTTATACACTAGCTATTACGGTAAGACCGTCAACCTTTCTGAAACTGAAAACATTGATCTTCCAGCAAAAGCGATTTCAGTTATTCCGTCCATCCGTCCGTCCCGTCCGTCCGTCCCTCTATCTATCTATCTATCTATCTATCTATCTATCTATCTATCTATCTATCTATCTATCTATCTATCTATCTATCTATCTATCTATCATTAGACATTCAGAATGTCATATAGACATTCTGATGTTGTTTTACAAAATAAGAGCCCCCTGTTTTGTCCATACATTCAGAAAATCATAAAAATAAAAGTCCTAGCTTCCACAGACCAATTCCACCTCAGATGGAGAGGACACCTTCTCAAGGTGTCCACTGCAAAGTTTCAGGACATTCTGATGTTGTTTTACAAAATAAAAGCCCCCCAAAACTCATATATTATACCTGTTTTGTCCATACATTCAGAAAATCCTAAAAATAAAAGTCCTAGCTTCCACAGGCCAATTCCTTCTCAGATGGAGAGTACACATTCTCAAGGTGTCCCTTGCAAAGTTTCAGGACATTCTGATGTTGTTTTACAAAATAAGAGCCCTCCAAATCTCATATATTACCTGTTTTGTCCATACATTCAGAAAATCATAAAAATAAAAGTCCTAGCTTCCACAGACCAATTCCACCTCAGATGGAGAGGACACGTTCTCAGGGTGTCCACTGCAAAGTTTCAGGACATTCTGATGTTGTTTTACAAAATAAAAGCCCCCCAAAACTCTATATAGTATACCTGTTTTGTCCATACATTCAGAAAATCATAAAAATAAAAGTCCTAGCTTCCACAGGCCAATTCCTTCTCAGATGGAGAGTACACCTTCTCAAGGTGTCCCTTGCAAAGTTTCAGGACATTCTGATGTTGTTTTACAAAATAAGAGCCCTCCAAATCTCATATATTACCTGTTTTGTCCATACATTCAGAAAATCATAAAAATAAAAGTCCTAGCTTCCACAGGCCAATTCCTTCTCAGATGGAGAGTACACCTTCTCAAGGTGTCCCTTGCAAAGTTTCAGGACATTCTGATGTTGTTTTACAAAATAAGAGCCCTCCAAATCTCATATATTACCTGTTTTGTCCATACATTCAGAAAATCATAAAAATAAAAGTCCTAGCTTCCACAGACCAATTCCACCTCAGATGGAGAGTACACCTTCTCAAGGTGTCCCTTGCAAAGTTTCAGGACATTCTGATGTTGTTTTACAAAATAAGAGCCCTCCAAATCTCATATATTACCTGTTTTGTCCATACATTCAGAAAATCATAAAAATAAAAGTCCTAGCTTCCACAGGCCAGTTCCTTCTCAGATGGAGAGTACACCTTCTCAAGGTGTCCCTTGCAAAGTTTCAGGACATTCTGATGTTGTTTTACAAAATAAGAGCCCTCCAAATCTCATATATTACCTGTTTTGTCCATACATTCAGAAAATCATAAAAATAAAAGTCCTAGCTTCCACAGACCAATTCTACCTCAGATGGAGAGGACACCTTCTCAAGGTGTCCACTGCAAAGTTTCAGGACATTCTGATGTTGTTTTACAAAATAAAAGCCCCCCAAAACTCATGTATAATGCCTGTTGTCTCCATACATTCAGAAAATCATACAAATAAAAGTCCTAGCTTCCACAGACCAATTCCACCTCAGATGGAGAGGACACCTTCTCAAGGTGTCCCCTGCAAAGCTTTAGGACATTCTGATGTTGTTTTACAAAATAAAAGCCCCCCAAAACTCATATATTATGCCTGTTGTCTCCATACATTCAGAAAATCCTAAAAAATAAAAGTCCTAGCTTCCACAGACCAATTCCACCTCAGATGGAGAGAACACCTTCTCAAGGTGTCCCCTGCAAAGTTTCAGGACATTCTGATGTTGTTTTACAAAATAAGAGCCCTCCAAATCTCATATATTACCTGTTTTGTCCATACATTCAGAAAATCATAAAAATAAAAGTCCTAGCTTCCACAGACCAATTCCACCTCAGATGGAGAGGACACGTTCTCAAGGTGTCCACTGCAAAGTTTCAGGACATTCTGATGTTGTTTTACAAAATAAAAGCCCCCCAAAACTCTATATAGTATACCTGTTTTGTCCATACATTCAGAAAATCATAAAAATAAAAGTCCTAGCTTCCACAGGCCAATTCCTTCTCAGATGGAGAGTACACCTTCTCAAGGT